GGTGCTCAACGGTGCTCAACGGCGTTCAATGATGGACAGCGGTCGCAGGACAATCCCTAGAATTCTGGGCAAGCCCCCGACGCCACAACCGAAGCAAAACGGCTCTACATTACCACCTCCTGAATTCGATTTCGGGTTTTGAGAGGCTTTGCACTTTTGACGTGCCAGTCTCAGCATTTCGTCCTTTTCCTTGCAAATTACTAGTATCCTTGCGAGTCTGTTTAGAATCTCCCATCGCAGAACCTTGTTTCGCCCGTGGGGTTTCGCGAGCGCCCTTAATTCGCTGAGCATGATCGATCGTGTCCTTCAAGGTGAGAGTACAGTTTTGGGAGACGTAGGAGTTTGTGTCAGCCAGCGCGTAGGTTCTGCTGATAGAACTAGCGCTTCACAATCTCGGGCATGTTGGTAGACTTCATGGACAGCAACTGTAAAAACTTGGTGCTGTACTCTTGCTGTGTCGTCTTGACTTGCAGATCGTGCATTTTCGTCAACGACCTGAACTCGTAATCACCATCGCGATACCTGGCGCTAATTTGCTGCTTGAACAGCGGCCATGTGGTGGATTACTTCTACCCACCGCATGCTTGAATTTGCGGTACCAAGCCATGACGTCTATACCCAGAAACGGTACTATCATGTAGACGAAGCGGAAGTCATTACTGTTCTGCTCGGCGGTGTACGCTGCTTCTATGTGGAAAAGCCAAAGCTCCAAATCATCCTCGGCGCGTCCATGAAACTTTGGTTGGTTTACCTTCTGATTTATGGTGATTAGCGCGTGATTGCATCTCATACATCTCCTGCTGGAACCTTGTCTGCTGCGCCATAAAAGCGTGCATCTGCTGCTGGCTGGTAGCGATCGCTTGGTGCTGAAGTGAGAACAAACTCACTAAGCTTGTCAGCATCTGAGAGGTGTCACAAACGCCAGAGGTTGCCGGTACAGCCCCGGTTGGAGGAACAGGCGAAGTCTGCGGCGGTGCTGGCCCAGGTGGCGTCGTAGAGCTTGCATCCGTGGCTGCCAACGTTGGTGGCACCTCCTGATGCTGCTGCGTCTCAGACATATACCCGTCCGCATAACCCTCTGCTCCAGAGACTTGAGAAGCGTCCTTGGAGTGCCTGGTAAGGTCGAAGGTTATTGTGATTCGTCGTCTGGCTGCCGAGCGGTTTTCCTTGAGCGCATTCCCAGGACGAGTCGATCGGTACTTAGTTGTGTTGGTACGGTGCTGTCTCGATGATTGTTGCAAAGCCTTCGGCTCTAATTTCGAACTTGTCTTGCCCTTAGTGAGTTGCTTGACCTATAGTATTATGCAAACTACTGCTCTCCTGCAATGGATGGTTTCTCTTATATGGGATTTCTACTGCTATCCGAAACCAACGATGCAACGGACGTACAGAGCAAAACGGACGAGTGCAATGCAACTCGTGATGCAGGATCCGTAACAGAGTACGGCTTATTCAGCACCTTTACATCACGTCTACACAAACCCTAAACTCTAAAGTCTAAAGCCTATTAGCGGTTCTGAATCCGTCTCCTCGCTCCGGATTTAGGGTTAGGTTTAACGAGGCATAGGAAAATGTGGTAAGTCATGAGGCTTCTTGTTTGAGGAGTAAGGTGTCGAATGGCAGCCCTTAAGGGTTGGTGGGCTGGTAGAAATCTATCCAGCGTCGCAAGTGTAGCTGTAGCTTGTCGACTGCTGTATTTGCTAGCTTGGCGGGGATGAGCGTGAGGCGCGACGCTCTGGACTTGTCGAGCCGCAGAGCAAGATGACGTCGCGTCACCAGAACCACAATGAACCACAGCAGCAGCAACACTCTGGGCAACGGCCGTTTGCTGATCGAAATAGCCGACGGATTTTCTGGACGAGAAGTCTTGTCGGCTGTGTCGATGATGCTGACTAGTAGGCGGCTTCGCCGGCTGATCTGTGGACGAGCCTTCCGACTCCCCGAAATGACACTATCCGTCGCTTCACTTGCTACGCTCCTGTCGCTAGGATAAAGCACCTTTCGCAATAGTGAGTATCGGGCTATCCGTTCTATGGATCCTAAACCGAGTCTTTACTGTACTACTAGTATTGTGAATTCCGTCCAAATCTGCCGATTTGGGTCTGTTTGAGGAGCGGGAGGACAATCGCTCACATACAAATCCAAGTCATTAGTAGAACCCACCAAGCCTTATTTTGGTTCTGGTGGCAAAAAAGATCAGTTATCTAGTGTGTCGATGCTTCTCTTAGTACAAAATGAAGTTGGTCAAATTGTAGCTCGAGGGCT